ACTACTGCAGCAGTTCTGCGTTGGGAAGCGGCCAAGAAATTTAATAAACCGTGATAGGAAATGCCTTCTGAGAAATGTGATTCAGTTGCCATTTGTCCCTCGGATACCTTTCTCTCGAGGAAAGTTATTTGGATTCAACATTAGGGTGATACAGATAGGGTGAGGATGCAATAACATTTAAATAATTAAAGCAACCGTTCCGCCAGTGATGCGTGAGAAAGGAAGTCAGCCAATTTATTCTCCTTGAGCTTTGCTAGCTCCTCCCAGCAGACTGTAATTTTTTTTTGTTTAAAAAAAGCAATAAAGCTTGATTTTATTCACCAAAATAAGCAGATCAGGCATTACTCTTGGGGGAAGGGGGGGAAGCAGAAATGCTGAGCAAAGAGGTTCTGTTTTTCACCCCATAATCACTTTTGAAGAGGAGAGATGCACTTTAAAGGGGTTGGGAGCCGAGCACATTGAAGTAAATGCAATTCAAAGGGACTGCGGTCTCCTGTGTTCTCCCAAACAAGGGGGGGGGGTGCAAGGAGCTGCGTCAGCCTCATATCTTGATGAATGAAAGATCACACTCCTAAAGGAGCATGCCTAATAACTGCACAGAAAGCTATTGCTTGCAGCAGACATGATCAACTGGTGGCTTGTGTAATGTAGCTGTCCCTGAAGCACTTTAATTTGTGAAACACATACACACATAACACCACTTTGGTAATCCCAGCAAATTTTAATCAAGGTGGGATTAAACAACAAGCACTCACCATTTAATTTTAAAGAAAAGGAAACATGAGACTTTATGTCTGTATAGCTGTCATACTGTTACTGTCTGGTACACCTTCTGGAAAGGTAAGGGACAGCTGCCTATTCTCTCTCTCTCCCTCTCTCTCTCTCTCTCCCCCCTCCCTCCCTCCCCCACCCTCCCGTACCATCTCAGAATGGTAGGAGATGCCAAGATTTTTATAGAATCTTGACCATTTGTGATGGGGTCAAACTCTTCTGACATCAGGAGTGTGTCTGGAGAACAGAATGGCTCCAAAGAATAAAGAAGTCAGCCATCTCTGGCTTACATAAACAGTCACCGGAAGGCTGAAAACAAAAAGAGAGATCAAGGTGGCAAAACAGAGGTGGTACTTAATGCTCATTTTTAGCCGATGATTGCCTTAGGGCTGATTGACATTTTGTAAAGCCCTCGTGTCCGCTGTGGGTCCTTTTGACAGATCTGCTCAGCAAACTCTGTACTTGAAACCTAGTTTCCAGATAAATGTAGGTCTGATTCAGATTGGGACCGTGTACACAGGGAGAGGAGGGGCTTAAGCCATTCCTCCCACACTGTTTTCCTGCCCTGATACAGCCCCAGAGAGCCCCTTATTTGTCCTGCTGGAGAGTCTTATATGTAGTGATGGGTTACACAAAATGAAACTAGCACAAGAGGGAGAGAGGCGGTAGCCCATGGGTGTCAAAAATAGAGCCCCCGGGTTGGATCCGGCCCCTGCAGGGCTCAGATCTGACTCGCAAGCAGCTGGCTCCTTCCTGCTTCCTTCTCTGGGGCTGCTGCTGCATTGCAGCTCTGTTTTGTCCAGCTCCCTCTGCTGTTTCCTGCCTCCTTCCAAACCTCCTTCCTGCTTCCTTCCAAACCTCCCTTCTCTCCATTAGCTGAGGGCTCCTCCTATGGGAGGAAGGGGGGGGAAGCAAAGAGCAAGAGAGAGCCCCACCCAGGAGAGAGAGAGCAAAGTCTGAATCCTGTGGCTCCTTTAAGACCAGCAATGTTTTATTTCATGGATAAGCTTTCCTACACCTCTTCTTCAGAGGGAGGGGGAGAGGGAGGGTGGGTAAATGGATTCTTCTGACAAGCACAATTTACACTGAGATCACTGTGCTCTGCTGTTTCCTTTGAGAGTTGATATCTCTCTGACTGTCTGTCTCTCTCTCACACACACATGTACGGGTGTATGTGTGTTAAAAGGAAGGAAAGGTTGGGATAAGGGGAAAGAAGAATTAAAAGGAAATTATTTTGGCTTATTCTGAACCTTTTTTTTTTTAGTTTAGATTTCCCTGTGCCTATGTGGGATTTCATTTTCTTTCCAAAAGACCCTGATTAGGAATTAGAACACTTGGATTGGCTTCCATTGTTTAATTATCCTATTCCATTGGATTCTGTTGTTTAATAATGGAAGTAGATGGCTAAGTATTTAAAATATATTGATGGTTCCATATGTTCCAGTTCAACACATCTTCCTTTCTCCCCTCCCACCTCGGTGGCTGCCTTTCTTCACTCCCCCTTTGCTTTTTCAACCGTTTCATTATCGTCACCAACACTTGAGTGGATTTTGCCCAGTCTGAAATCAACATGTTATTTCACTTGGAGAGATCCCCTCTCCAGTTTAAGCAGATGAAGGGGGGGGGGGAAAGAAACCTAACAGTACAGCTTGCAAGCTTTATTAGTAAAAAGGAGCAAGAGTCCAGTAGCACCTAACAAAACTAGTGCCAGGGCATGAGCTTTCGTGAGTCAATGCTCACTTCTTCAGATGCAGCTAGAATTTGAGTCCATTGATCCTTATATCTTGGAGAGTGGAGTGATTTCAGATGCCAAATGACAATAGCAGGCATTGGTAATAAGACAGGAAACCTAGGTCTCAGTTCAGCCATGGAGGATGCATTGAGCTTCATTATCAGTTGCAGTTCAGCAGTCTCTCTCTCTAATCTCACTTTGAAATTCCTTTATAAGATAACTGCTACTTTTAAGTCAGCGGTGTCCTGGAAGGTTAAATGTCCCCCCACTGTTTTTTAATGTTGTGGTCTCTAATGTCAGACTTATGTCCATTTATTCTTTGCATCCTCCTGGACTGAATTGAGACCTAGGTTTACTGTCTCATTACCAATGAGGTAGCTCCATGCCTATTACCCCTCTGCGTATCACACCTAATACAATCAAGCCTGCTGTTGTTATTCACCTGCTATTGCTATTTGGCATCTGAAATCACCTTTATAAAGTTTATATCTCCAGTACCTCGTGTTTCGTTTTATAGTACACCTGGCCCAGCCCGACAAAGTGGCATTTATGTTCTATCTGGCCCTTGTAACAAATGAGTTCTACACCCCTCCTCTACCTCATCCGGCTTGTTGTTACACTCATTTTCTGTGTGCAGAAACTTAAGGACTCTGTGATTGCCCAGCTGTCTGAAGTGACAAACTCCAGTCTCGTGGTCTCTGCTGCTGCATTTCCACCTCATTCTGTACCATGTGTACAGCGAACCGTGAATAAGTCTGCAGAGAGCCCAAAGGTAGGGTTGCCTGTTTCCAGGCAGTGTGGGCAAACCACCATCACTGCATCCAATTGCCCACTGCTGATCAGGGCAATGACAGGAGGAAAAAAAACCTGTAAAGACCATAGAGATGTGTGAGTTTCCCGGAATATCACTGCCTGGGTGTGATGTCACTTCCGGGGTTTGCCTGGAAATGACACCATGGAGTCAGTGATGCAGTTTTCCCCTCTCACTGATGCATTATGACAGCCTGGGTAGCCCTGCCTAGTGACCCCAGATAGTTTGCCTTTCACTATCCCGCTGCCTTAGGATTGCAAGATCCAGGTTTTGAAATGCTCGTGAGCCACGAGTGACTGAAGCTCGGGGGGGGGGGGAGCTCTGTGGACCGAGTACACAGCAGCCCCTGAACTCTCTCCAGAGTCACTCAGCATTTCTGACCACCCTTTGGCCCTCCTCCCCCACAGCCGGCATTCACAAACCTGGAGGGCCCCCCCAACCTCTTCAGCACCTGTATCCACACCCCTTGGCCTGGGCCGAGGCCGAGGCTTCCCCACAGGAACACATCTCGAAATGCTCTGCCTGCTGCGCACAGAGGACAGCTCATTAAAAATGTAATTAGTGGAGAAATTAACACAGCAGGGCTGTGCCTTGGGGACTGGCCTTGCGGCAAAAAAATCAAGGGCGGGGTGTGTGTGTCTTGTTATCTTCAGAAGCCGGCCCGGGCTGAGGGAAAGAAACAAGCATAAGCAAACTCCTTTCAAGTTGTACTTTAATTACCAAAGAGTTGCTGACCCACAGACCTTCCTTTGGTATAATTAGTCTTCCCCTTCTTCTCATCCCCCACCCCAGCCTTCCTCACTGCCTCCTCTCATCCCCCTCGTCTCCTCCCATCTCCATCTCCCCGTGTCTTGCTGTCGGAGGCAACATTTAATTAGGCATCTTCTTCAATTAAATATGTTGGCTAGTGTGGCCGCTTAAAAGCAATCCGAGCTCGGCACTGCCCGGGAAATTGGATGAGGGTAAGCAGCTGTTAGGTAGCACTCAATTGCTTCCCTCGGCTGGGAAACGACATTTGCAAAGCCTGAGAGGGGTGTACGTTCCCGGAGGTGTTGCACGAAAAGTCACGAGAAATAAACAAAGAGGATAAGATTTTGAGTAACGGTGGTCATATCCCCAAAGCAGAATACGGTCAAGGCACGTGTGTTCCAGAACAATGCAAAGAGAAAACCCAGCCCGTCAAACGTGATGACTTTGGGCCACATAATTCAGATTCCTGAGAATGGTATTTGTCCTACACAAACTGTCTGAGACACAACTTGAGAGAAATCTAGGAACAGGAAGCAAGTTTCCAAAATGATGCTGTGGGACTAATCAAGGTCACTGACGTCATCCAGTTACCCATCAGCCACGGTTAACTGCAACTGTCTCCTCTTCCAGTTTGTTCCTTAGGGTAGAGGAAGCCACAAGTGGGATAGGGGTACTTATCAGGGAAGGACATGATCCCTGGGACAGGATAGCCGATCCTTCTAGCAGTATCTGAAGAAATGAGCAGTGTCTCACGAAAGCTCATACACCCTGTCACATATTCTGTTAGTCTTTAAGGCGCTACTGGACTCTTGCTCTTTTCTACTGCTACAGACAG